TGAGGTGGAAAATGGGCGAGCTGAGGTAGACGGGATTCCTCTTCCAACCGAGGGCCGTATCACCAGTATCTTCGCATTCGGGTGCGGTTTGGGCTTGAAAGAAAGCGGCGGACGTGACGGCAGTGCGACGCGTGGCTACTCGAGCAGCATAGGGGGGCCCCAGTTGTTGAGATTATGCAAGATGCCTTGGGGGATAGAAATGCTGGGGGCGTTCGTCGCGCGCCGTTGAGCTTTGCGAACGGCCGCGAACGCTTGCTTGGTGGGCGTGCGAAGCTGCGCGACGCGCGAGAGGACAAAGAAGGACAGGAGGTTGAAGCAACCAAGGGACTTGCAAAGCCCCGGCCAGAGGCTCTGTACATCGTGGGCTCTGGAAGCGCACTTGGTCGGGGACCGGGGGGGGCGGCCAGGAAACCCCGTCTTTCCCAAGGGTAATCCCAAGACGCTTTCCACGAACCTCGAAGGGCAGCTCATCGGGGCAGACGCCGATGGCGCCCGTGAGGAACTTGCAGCGCGAAGCGCTGAGTGGCCCAAGCGGGCCAAGATGGGACTTCCTCGCATGGGCGCGAAGTCCCGCGGCAGAACCTGCAACCTTCCAGGCCGGCAGAAGGTCTTAAACATCTGGAAGACGTCGGCAGAGGCCGCGCCGGCGTCGACGGCCAACGTTGTCAACTAGCTCAAATCTCGGGGCACCCTGGTCAGCGCGTGCCCGAGCGGGAAATAATGCCGGCGAGGGGGCGTCCTTGTTTGATCCCATGGGGGGCCAGGAACGAGTGCCCCTGGGGGCCTCAGAAGTTGACATCGATCGCGACATTGGCGCACAGGGCCTGGATGCACCGCAGCGTGAAAGACTGGGGCCCCATGCATGCCAGGACCCAACATATCATGAGGAGTGCGGCAGGCCAGGGAAGGCCAGCCGAACGTCGCAATAGAGCATGCCAGCGCGTTCGTGACCAAGCTGAGCACGCCGCGAGGGCAGCGCGAGTGTCGAGGTCGATGCTGTTTCTGTTCATGTAACGGCCTGGGATACAGCCCGTCTGGTTGGCTAGGACTGTTTGGGGTGGGGATCCGAGAGAGCGTTTTGTTGATGGCGAGCGAGACGAGCTTGTTATCGGCGTTGGGCTTGCGTGTCATCTGTGCGTTCGCGTCATCTGGGTCATTGCCCATGGCGTTGAAAAACGGCCACGCCCCGGTTGAATACCTCGGGGTGGCCGTCCTGCTCGAGCAGGACGGAGTAGAGACGGCGCCGAGAGTCGACGACTGCTACCCCCCCTCTTGCGCAACAAGCGCACGGGGCGCCGTCGGGCCCAACGCGCGAACCCCCAATCCGAGAGACCAACTTTTCAAATTCGGGGCGCCCCTGTTTCCAAAACGCCAAGTCGGGGCAGGGCTGGGCGAAATCTCTAAGCGGTAGTCGGCCCTCGTGAGAACCTGGGCTGCCGCGGTGCACTTTGCCCCAGAGGGGGGGGAGATACGAAGCGACCTGCTCTGGCTCGGCGATGGCCTTGCCAGCCGGGTCGGAGCTTCTTGCGCGTGCTGGTCCGAGACGGGCTGTTGCCCAACGCCCTTCAAGTGCTGCTGGATGTGCTCGAGCTTCAGCGCGTTGCGGCGGGGGCGAAAACCTCGCGCGCCCAACCGCGCGCCAGGGCGCGGGCGCAACAACTTGGCGAGGGGCGGGCAGGCGAGCGGGGCCTCGTCGATAGGCCAGCGCTGGCCGCGCAGGGCGCCGCGAAGATAGGACAAGGACCATCTTTTCCTCGAGGGACTTGTTGGCGTGCTCAACGCTGCATTGGAGAACGTTCTTACTGGCCTGAACGGGGGCATCTATCATCTGGGAGCGTTAGACGAAGGGGTCGGTGTCGAGTGGGCCGACGATATCTATGAGCTGCTGCGCGTGCCAGGAGGGGACCCTGAAACCCATCTTGCCACCGGGAGATAAAGCGAGACATGCCGGAGCGTGGCCTGGGAGGTAGCCGACTTTGGAGATCGGGGCAAGGGCGAGGGACTTGGGGTGGAATTCGAGGAGAACGGGGCCGCGTATGTTGGTGCATATGACATCGATGGGACTCATACTCGCGACCTTCTGGGCGCCCTCAATCTCCTGCGCGGCGCGGCGCGTCGAGAAAGCCTGCTCCGCCTCGCAGACCGCCGACGTCCAGCGAGGAAAAGACGGCGGCGCCGTTGCTCGACTAATTCACCGCCCCACTGGCGCGGAATGAGCCTCCCCCCAGGCTCGGAAAGTTGAAGTCCCCGAGCACGGAGCCAGTGCTTGAAGTGAGCTCGCAACGCAGGGCGGAGACATATGGGAACGCCTCCGCCAACCTTATCTCCGAAGAAGGACCCACTCCCCCAAGAGTCGATGACCTCTGAATATTCAGAAGCGAACTTTTGGCCTCCTGGATGAGCGCGATTTGGCACTTCTGAATGTATGATAGTAGATGTGATAACAGATTTTTGATGGTATCCAGGCACGACGTGAGTCCTCCAAGGAGTGGTCGAGCGTTCCAAGACACAAGACTGAAATGGGTGATGCATCTGTATGGAGACTGACTGGGCCCGGGAGCCAGGGATGGGTCGGAAGCGCTGGGGGCCAGCCGCGAACGGAAGCCTGGAAGTTTCACGAGACGAAGAGGACCCAGACGAGGTGGAAGCCCCAGAAGACGAGCCGAACGTACAGGAAATACGATCATGCGTGCACGAGCGGTATGGGATCTTCATGCCTGGCGAAGCCGACAGTGCAATCTCATCTATGCTGATCAGCATGTGAAACCCCTAGCTGCTCCTCGCGGCGCCGATGATGGCAGCGGCCTGCTCGGGGGAAATGCCAATTTGCACAACTTCGATGAAACAAATCTCGAACTGCCCGAAATCGCCCTCCTTCATGTGGAGAGCTCGTGGATGACGTCGCTGGCTGCGATGGACAGGATGCCGCGGAAGCCGCTGACGCCAAAATTGTACTGGAGGTCGTTTCATGAGCCGACTTGCCGAAGACGCTGACTGACTGCTTGCCACTCATTGCCGAAGACCTGGTTCTTCTGGCGGACAGAAGTTGGGGGCGTCTTTCCTGCAGCGGACCATACATTGGTGTTGGCGGCGGAGTCGACCCAGATGATGCCGCACGCGCGGCCGTGGTCGACGAACGCGGTGGCGTCGAAAAATCACTCGAACGAGATCGAGTAGCTCTTGGCGGGGTTGTGCGCCTCGATGGTGATGCGCATTGCGCGGATATGGGATGGCAAGAGCGTGAAGAGGTTGCGGCTGTGAGCTTCCATGGTCGTTGCCAGCACGGGGCGAATGAGGCCGCCGATCCAGACCTTGCACGTGTCGTGCTCCTCCCTTGGCCGCGTCTGAACACTGCTGGGTGGGGCGGAAAGCCTGCGCTTCGTCGCGGGAGGCCCATCACACGAGCTGGAAATTGATGCTGCCGAAGATCCTGCCGTCGACTCGACTGCTGCCATGCGCTTCTCCATGCCTGTGCGGGGAGGACTGCCAACGCGCCAGCTTCGAAGGACAGACCCATGTTACTCTTAAGCTGCGCGAGCCTGGAGTTGATCTTCTGCATGGCTGAGTCCTGGGCTGAGTGTCTCACGTACTGCCCGGAGGCTCGGGGGCGCGGTCTCGATGCTGGACAAGCGACTCGTGATGCCGCCAAGTTGCTCGAGTGTCTGCTGGATGCCGTCGCCGACCGCCGCCATGGCAGGAGACTGGTGAGAAAAGAGGAAATGCCCGCCCGAGCTTGACAGTGGACGTCGCTCTTTCAAGAAGAGCTGCCGCGCTCAAATGGGGTCTGTCCTCACGTTGAGCCAAAATGGCAGAGGAGGAGGAGGAGGAGGAGGAGGAGGAGGAGGAGGAGGAGGAGGAGGAGGAGAGTCAGCATGATCACGGGGCGGAGGCGGGGAAAAAGAGGACGGCAACGGCGAGACATGAATCGGGTCCAAATCTGTTGCCCTCGCGGCGACAGCGGAATTCCGAGAGACGGAGGCCAAGTACCGGTCCTGAACCGAGGCCACCGCTGCGCAGCGGGAGCGCCACTTTAAGGACCAAGGACGTTTCCTTTGGGTAGCATCTCCCTAAGCCAGGTTCATAGAGCAGTGTACAACCAACATGACAACGAATGCAATGAATAAAACGAATGCGCACTCAGGACTATGAACCAAGAAAGCCTCGTGCGATGACGCTTTGACGCTGTGCCGCACCAGCATGCTTTGTCGACCGAAGACGCTCCGAGGCAATCTCCTGTCAGTCTCTTGGCATCCGATGCGCAAGGTCAACAAGGCACGGAAAGGGGCGGGTCAACGGCAGGAGAGCGGGCCCTCGTCCTCGCCCTGCTTGAGGAGGGCCAGTGGAGACCACCGCGGTGAGACAACGGCGGCCCAGATCCGTTCAAAATCGGTCCCCGGAGCCCTTCCGATGCCCAGAAGCACGAGTTTTCCCGGCTGCGTCCCTTGTCTCGCCTGGCCTTCCTCCGACCGTAGTCTCCTCTCATCCTCCTCCTGGATCTGTCCTGTCCCCACTTCCCCCCAGAGATACCCAAATTAGAGGCCTCCCAGATGGGGTCCGAGTAGAATAGGGTCGGAGGATCGCGCCGCATCGCCGATGCATCGGTGATGCATCGGCGGCTTTATCGGCGACGTCGGCCATGCATCGGCGACGTCGACCTGGAGAAATCGGGCTCCACATTGATCCGCATCGCCGATGCATCGGCGATGCGACGCGAACCTCCAACCCCATCTACTCGGACCCCATCCAAGAAGCCACCGTGGCGCCTGGGCACGGAGTGGGCGTGTCCTCAGGTCCTGGGACCAATCCTCTCAGCCTCAATCCTCACTCCTGAGGGGTCTTCAAGGGGCCCGGACCCCTCGCTTTCAAATCTTGTTGGGTTTGGCGCGTCGTCTCGCGTGACTTCGTCGGGCCCAAGAGGGCCCGAACCCACAACCCAGGCACGGTGGCGGGCTGAGTCGAAAGCCACTACGGGGCGCAAGAGCGGAGAGGGCAATCCGCTCCTGCTCATGTGGCGGAGGGCACGGTTCATCATCGTGCGCTGCTGATCCAGAGGCAGCGGGCCTCCGAGAGGGCACGACACGAGCGCGGGCTTGGAGAAGGAGGGGATGAGGAAGAAGAAGAAGAAGAAGAGACGAGGGAGAGAGGGGGAGGAGAGTAGAGAAGAATAGAGAGAGGGAGAGAGTTGGATAGATGTGTCTATATCTACATATGTATATCATATAAATATATGTAGAGAGAGAGAGAGAGAGGAGAGAGAAAGAGAGAGTAAGCGAGTGAGAGAGAGGGGGGGGGGGGGGCGAAACACGGGGGAGAGGAAGAAGAGAGACGAGATGTAGAGTAGATGCATAGATAGGGGAGGAAGGAAGGGAGGGAGGGGGGAGGGAGAAGGCAACTGCGGACAGGCGGAAGCACAACACACACACAACGAGTAAGGGAGGGAGGGGGATGAAAGCGGGAAGGAAGGAAGGAAGGAAGGAAGGAAGGAAGGAAGGAGGGGAGGCTAAGGTACGGGAAGGAATTTGATTATGATAGGAGGGATCGGAGGGGAGGGGAGCCAGGGGAGAGGAGAGAAAGACAGGCGACGGGCCAACGGGAAGGGTTGGGAGGGGAAGGGAAGGGACAAGGGAGGTCGGGATCCAAGGAAGGGCTGCTAATGGCGGGCGGGGAAGGGTGATAGCGCGGGAAGCAGGACACCATGACTCGGCAACTCAAATTGAAACCCCTCATCCTTCCCAACCCTCCTCCTCTTCCTCCTCCTTCCCTCCCTCACTTACGTCCGACTACCTACCAAACCACCCCAACCCAACCCGAAGACCCAAATGTCGGGTTCGGGGGGAGGGTCCAGGCTCCACATGTATTTTCCTCAATTTTCCCCGACGCGCTCCCGCCCCCGGGAATGGAGGGCACATTGGGGCCTTCGGGTTGGGTTGGGGTGGTTTGGTGGGTGGTGCATGTCCGCTTCAACTTTCCTCTGTCCCTCTGGGAATCTATCCCCTCCCTCCATCGTGCTCCTGTTCCGACTACTGCTGCTGCCCCTCCTCCTACATCGTCCTGCTCCCGCCCTTGTTCCTCCTTCCCCTCGTCTTCCTCATCCTCGTGCTCCTGCTCCTGCCTCTTGCCTCTTGCCTCCGCCTCCTCCGCATCCTCGTCCTCCTGCCTCTGTCTGCCTGTGGGGAACAGAAGACGCAATACTAACACCGTTCAGGCTCCTTGCTCGGAGGCGTGCCTGGCCGCGCCCCTGCCTCTCGGCGGCGTGCCGAGCGGGAAGTGGGACGGGCTCGGAGGAGGCCCGGGAAGCTCCTCAGATGGCCGGAGGCCCTTTGAGCCCTTCGAGAAGTCCTCGGTGGCCTCGGAGAGAGGCTCCGAGAGCTCCCCAGAAGGCCAGGAGCCCTCTGAACTTCCTGAGAAGTCCCGTGGCCTCGGAGAAGGCTCGGAAAGCCCCTCCGATGGCCAGAGGCCTTCAGAGCTTTCCGAGAAGCCCGCTGTGGCTCCGGAGAGAGGCTCCGAGAGCTCCTCCAGAGGCCAGAGGCCCTCTGAGCCGTCCGAGAAGCCCTCTGCGGCTTCGGAGAAGGCTCAGAAAGCCTTTCCCCTCTTCGCGGCGGGGGAAGGCGGGGGGGAGGGAGGGGGAGGGAAATAGAACTGGAAATGGTGAGTTCGCGAAGCGAAAGAGTTAATTCAGGATAGGTGCGTCGTCTGGCTCGTTGCTCCGACAAAGAGAGGACCTTTGGCGCCAGAGACCACCTCCAATCATGTTCAAATGTTCAATGCGTGTCTTATTACGCTGTTTCGTGCAAGGCTTCCCTATGTTCCTGACCTGTTGGGAGGCGAAATAGCCACTTGATATACAGAACCAGAGATCAAGTGTGCTATGATATCTGAGATCGTGTGTGGGGGGTGCAGCCACCCCCACGCACAGTGGACATTGAAACCCTTAAGGACCCCTTTTGACACACCCTCTAAAGACACAAGCTGAAAACAAAACGAACTAAGCGATTTAATCAATTGTTTCTTGGATGCGGACCCGTGATAAACATAGCAAGAACGGCCATCTTCATGCAACGTAGGGAGGGGAGGAATGGAGGAGGAGGAGGATGAGGAGGAGGATGAGGAGGAGGATGAGGAGGAGGAGGAGGAGGAGGAGGAGAAGAAGCTTTTCGTGGTTTCGGAGAAGGCTCCGCAAGCTCTCCTCGGGCTTCTGAGGAGGCGGGCCTTCCCCCCCCTGGCCGCGCCGCCGGACCTCCCCCGGCCAGGCGGGGCGGCGGTTGGCCTAGGATGCCGCGCGCGGAGTCTGTTCCCGCCGACGCATCCTCCAGGGCGACGAGATACCTACGCGGCAGGTTCGTGCCGTGCCGACTCGGGCGCCGGTCTTTGACACCGCGGGGATCGTTCCACCTCGAACGATCGGCCGTTTCCGAAACGTCAAATCGTTCAGCATCGGCCGGTTCTGGGTCGCCGGCACGTGGAGCGCCGGCGGCGGGGTCGCCGCCGGTCGACACGGCGCGAACCTGCCGCACACATCCACCCGGGCCCAGGAGCGGTGTCTGCGGCCTCCTGGCCTGGCCAGGCATGCATATGAAGCCCGCTCCTGAGCACGGGGTGGGCCAGGCCTCGGGCGGTGGCGTGCAGGCATCTCGCCACCCGCCGTCCTCGGAGGTCGCGCCCCCGCTCAGGAACTTCGAGCCCTGGATCACGATGCGGCGGCCCGCCTGCCCCCCCCCCCCCCCGGGGCGGCGGGCGGGGGCGCTCGGCTCTCAAGCGCAGGCGGGGGCATCGGGCTGGCGGCGTGCGTGGCGCGCTGGGCCCCCCCGTCCGCTGTGTTCGGGCGGGTGGCACGGTGGGAGCTCGACCACAAGGTCTTCCATCGTAGAACTGTCGAAACCCAAGAAACCCAGGGCACCCTGGAGGCAAGCAGGGTGTTTCTTGGCAAGGGCTTCCACTGCATTGGGGGGTGGCCCAATTGGGGGGTGGAGAGAAGGGCCACACATGAGCCCTTTCGGGCCCCTGTTGGCTCGAAAAGGGGCTCCCAAGGGCGCCTTCAAGGCCCCTTTTTCTTCACCCCCCATGTGGGTCACCCCTCCATTGCCACCCGCCCGAATTGTCCTGCCCCTGCAGCTCCCCCGTCTTCGCCGCCACCCCTCGGCTTACAGCCTCGGTTGAGCTCGCCGGTCCGCCCCGCGTGACGCGCTGGCCCCCTCCAGGCCTCATCCTGTGCAGTCAGTTCGCTACCACCTCCTACCTCCTGTGCAGTCACCCGCCCCGCGCTGCCCTCCTCCTGTGCAGTCATCTCGCTACCGGGGGGGGGGGCGCCAAATACGGAGCGAAGGGGACGGTCTGGGCATGGCGGGCCTCGGCCACTGACAGGCTCTCCGACCAAGGGCCGAGGGACGGGCCGACAAACCCGAGCCCCTGCTTAACCCAAAGTGGTCACAATTCAGCGTCCTGACTGCAGCTCTTCCTCCTGCACCGCCCCTGGGCTTACCCTGGCCCCTCTGATCCCCCCAGTACACCCGCCCTCCTCGCATGGAGCACGCTGTGGTTGCCAGGCGCGGGAAGCGCAAAATAGAGGAGTGGCCAGAATCTCCCCTGATGGCTCGTGCTCGGCGTCTGGCACTCTCGCGCCACCTGCCAGCCGCAATACCCAAGGGCAGGGTGCCCAAGGACGCAGCAAGGCGTTCAGGAATCGGCGGCAACGAACCGCCCTGCTCGCCAGGCTCTCAAGCGACGCCGTTTCGCTGCTTACTCGTCTGGGAATTAATTACTGCATTGTGTCAGGGAGAATCCAGTTTGTCACTGCCCTGGGATCATGTCTCGCTCGACGATATCCTCATATGAACAAATCATGACCGTCGTCGACACCGATGCGGATGATCGCACCAGCCCACTGGGCGTAGGTGGCTGAGCGGTTCAGCTCTCCAACAAGGGCAGAATGTCGTTCCCTGAGCTCTGGGATCACGCCCCATGAGATACACGTGCATAGGCATCTGTCCCAGAACTGCGGTCGCTGACGCCTTCAACGCCAACATCCTGAGGACGATATCGACCTGAATCCCCGCCCACCTCCAGGCGTGGAAACGCTGCAATCAGAAATCAACTCCGGCTGGTGCCCATTGCATCGCGAGCTTGTCCCCCCTGTGAAGACTCCTCGCGAATGAGCCATCCTAGGAGAACAGGAGGACGAATGTAGAACGGGCTGGGTATTTGCACGGCCCTCGAACGGCACGATCACTACTGTCGTCGTCATGCTCGCGGAGGTGGACACGATGACTTCGAACTTCTTCAGTGGAGTCCGAAGAACTTGCTGGAGCAGGGCAAATTATCTGCAACACGACTCGTCCGGGCACCCCGACACCGCCGCGACGTCGCCGGAAACGCCGCCGCTCGACACAACCTTCGCCGTGCCTCCTAACTGCACGGCTGCAGATTGTGGTGTCAGTAATTACCCTTGGGTTGAGGGCATGCAGTCACCCTGAGCCCAAAGTGGTCCTTATTCCAGCGTCCTGACTATTCCTTGCGGAGGAGAGCCTCCGCACCATCGCACGCGGGCTGCCCGATCACCCCATGCTGTGCTCCAGCAGTGCTGCAGACCGTTGGATGCTGCAGGATTGCTGTCTGCGGACTGCGCCATTCGGTAACACTGACGGTGCTGGCGGAGGCTTCCTGTGCTGTGGCGGCTGCCTTGACATCGGCTTCACTGCGCCACGCGTGGGGGGCATCCGTTGGCGAGCTCTAGCAGCCCGATGGTCCCTGTCCCGACCACTCTCGCTCCTCATCCCTGATCCTTCCGTTCTCAATGTGCCGCTCCCTCCCTCCCTCCCTCCCTCCCTCCCTGCACCCACGTCTGCGCTCTGCTCGCGGGAGAACGCCCACTGGGAGACCGCCGCGCGCAGCCGGCTGCACCTCGGGCGACGCGCCTGCCTGCGCCACGCCAGGCTGCCAGGCGGGCAGCTCTGCGGACGCCCGCTAGACGGCCGCGGCCACCACGGCGCCACCTGCCAGAACGGCGCCGGCGTCGTGCGCCGGCACGCGTGGCTCGTGTGCCGGCTGGGCGGCCTGCCGCGAAGGTTGCGGCACGAGCAGCCACTCTTCGAACAGAGAAGGTCCCCGAGCGGGACGGGCAGCCGCTCGGCCGAGAGACGGAGCGCGCGGTGATCGACCTGGAGTACCAGGACGATGACAGGCGACACTGGCTCGATGTCGCGGTGCGAGATCCGGCCGCGGGAACACGGGCGGATAGGCGAGTGGCCGCCCAGCAGGGGGGGGAGCGCGACAAGCCCTCGCGTTACCCAGGCGAGCGCCTGGCCCCCTTCGTCCTCGATGTCGGGGTGATACTGGGCGCCGAGGCCCCTCTTTGGCGGAAGGCCGAGGTAAGCAGGCAGGACGACCAGAAGCAGCAGCCCGAGCTGGCCCGCGCCCACCAGGTGCTGAGCTGCGGGCTCCAAAAGCGAGCGCGCGCGCCAACAGCGCGCCGCGGCGGGCCTGCGCTAGCCCCGTTTTGGGGGGGCTCTACCTCCTCGTCCTCCTCCTCCTCCTCCTGCCCTCCCCCTCTTCTTCCTCCTTCTTCGCGATAGTGTAACGCCTGGTCCCACGCCTGGTGTACGCCTCCGTGTTCTTCGCGCGCCTGGTTCCACGCGACCTCGGCGAAAGGGCCATCAGAAGCCCCCAGGAACCGTCAAGAGCGGCCACTGCTGGCACCCACCCACCCCTGGCCTCCCTCCAGGAGGCGTGGATTTTCACTTTCTGCTTTTGCTTAGGAGCCGTCTTCTCTCCCTCCACCTCTGTCCCTCTTCCCCTCCCCCCCCTTCTGTCTCCCCTCCCCCCGGCGTGCCCGGCGCGTGCGTTCGTGCACGGCGGGCACGCGCAACCTTCTGAGATCTCCGCGATCGCACCGGTGCAGTCGGGCCGGGGCTCCAGGTCCAGCTGGGCCGTTTCGCTCGGACGCCGCACAGCGATCCGAGCCACAGCTGGGGCGCCCTTGAGGCGTGAGCAGTCGGCGGACTGGCAACGGGGGACCCCGAGGGTCTGTCTGCCTGCCTGCCTGCATGCCTGTCTGTCTCTGTCTGTCTGTACGTCTGGCTGTCCATCTGTCCATCTCTCTGTCTGTCACTCTCTCCGTCTCTGTCTCTGTCTCTGTGCCTGTGCCTGTGCCTGTGTCTGTGTCTGTACCTGCACGCGCGCGCATGTGCTGTTTTCAACCCTCTACGCCTCGACGCTGCACGCGAGGCTGCGACGCCAAAAGGTCTGTTTCTGTATCTGCGTCTGTGTCCGTATCTGTGTCTCTGACTGTTTGTCTGTCTGTCTGTCTGTCTGTCTGTCTGTCTGTCTGTCTGTCTGTCTGTCTTGTCTGTCTACCTCTGTCTACCTCTGTCTACCTCTGTCTCTCTCTCTCTCTTTCCCTCTCTGCGTCTGCTTCTCTGCATCTCTCTCTCTCTCTATCCAGCTTCCGTTCTCCCCTTCGCGCCGTGCTGCGACCTCCGAAAAAACCACTGCCCGCGCCTGCAGACTGGCGGCGTCGCACAAGACCTGCCGGACGATCTCCTCCACTCTCCACGGTGGGACCGAACTGAATCACTCCCCCCATCCGACTCCTCCATCGTCACCCACGTTGCTTTGCTTCATCATCTATCTTCCACCATCTCCTTCTCCATCCCTCCTTTCTCCTCCTCCTTCTCCTCCTCCCTCCCTCCCTCCCTCCCTCCTCCTACTCCTGCCTCCTTCCCTCCCTCCCCTCCCTCCCTCCCCCCCTCCCTCCCTCCCTCCTTCCCTCCCTCCCTCCCTCCTCCTTCTCCTCATCCTCCTCCTCTTCCTCTCAAGCACATGTGGCTCGAGGTTCATCCGTAGCTTTTGGCTTAGTGATGGGCCTCCAGTGCCTTCTCGTGGCGCTTGGGGGGCTCCGATTTCTGCCGCGGACTTCGTCTTGCATCAGCCGTCGGATGGCGAGACTGGGCAAACCGTGAGTATGGCTTCGGTGGCGGTACACGGTGAGTAGCTCCTGTATTATTGGTCAGCCCTCGCTGGTACTGGCTTGGGCACGTGCCGATCGGTGTCATTATGTTCATGTATGGCCTTGTTGGCAGGTTCTCAATTCAGTTCATTTGATACTGCAGTTTCTGTCGTGCTTGTATATATTCCTATGCTGTACAAGTTTTTTTCATCGTGCCCATGGGATACCCACTGGGTTGTTACCCACAGGGTCTTGCGGCACTTTTTAGGTGTGACAATACGCTTGAGGACGGGCTGTTTACGGAGTGGGCGTGGCTACGGCTTTGCTGCATGACTGTTTGTGCTCGTGGTTGGCGGCATCAGTCGTATTCTCCTGTTTCCTTCGATTCAGCTGTTTCTTGGGTGTAATTGTCACTCCCATCAATTGTCACGTGGTCAGTTTTCCCCGCTCGTCGTGCAGAGCGTCTCGATGAGCATGCAGGTATGGGACTTCAGCTGTCGGCGGTACTTCCTTTGGTCGGCTGGGGCGAGGTGGTTTGTAGGCGAGGCGAGCTCATTGATCGGTTTGAATTAGCCCAATGATCTACAATGTCGCCGTGTCGGCACAGCTAGGGCCTCATAGAGTCAAACTCACTGCCGCTTAGCCACTGGCTATGTCATTGTGGAGACGTTTCGGAAAATTGGTTCCAAATCATTTGTGTTCATATTGGGCAGGCTTGGTAGTTTCTGTGGTATTGCTATGAAGGTCGTGTACGGATCGGCTTCTGCGGCTGGCAATATTCATCAGCTCCCTGCTGGCTCCTGGCCTTCGTCTTCTGGTTCGTCTACTTCGATTTCGAGCTCAGGGGGCGGCTTGTGTATCGTTTAGGCTACGCCTTGGCAGAATCCCTAGAATTCCTCCTCCTCGTCCTCTTCCTCTTCCTCCTCCTCCTCCTCCTTCTCCTTCTCCTCCTCCCTACACCACGTTCTGGCTCCTCTTCCAGCACCTCGGGTCGGACGAAAGGGGGATAAACCAAGGAGAGGATTGGCGTACCAGCTCATGTAATTAGTTGACCTCTCTGCCTCCCTGTTCCTCCTCCACCTCCCCCTCCATCCCTACCGCCCTTATTCATATCATCAGTATACTCTTTTTTTCATCCTCTTCCACCTCCTCCTCCTCCTCCTCCTCCGCCTCATCATCATCATCATCATCATCATCATCATCATCATCATCATCATCATCATCATCATCATCATCATCATCATCCTCATCCTCATCCTCATCATCATCATCATCATCATCATCATCAGCATCATCATCATCATCATCATCATCATCATCATCATCATCAGCATCATCATCATCATCACCATCATCATCATCATCCTCTTTCTTCTCCCCCTATACCACGTTCCACCATCACCATCATCATCACCACCACCACAACCACCGTCATCAGTATCATCATCACCATCGTCGTCATCCTCATTATCACCACCATCACCACCACCACAACCACCATCAGCATTACCATCGTCATCGTGATATGCTGTTTCGTTCGGCGGAGAATTGTATTCTGGAACTGACTGCTCGCGGCGATCAGCGGGCTGCTCCTCCACAGCCGAGGGACGAGGAAAACGGCCTCCTCCCGAGAACAATCACGGACAAGCAAAGTCGAACTGGCTTAGACCCGAGACTCCTTCCTGGGCAGGGCAAGCGGCGAATCAAAAAAAGGGCTTCGGTCGCAGCGGGTGCACGCAAGAGAGAAGCCCGACCACCGCTGCTACAAACCTGAAGCGACACCCCTCTCCCCACGAATCATGTCCGCGCACGCATCCCCATGACATGCTGTTTCGTTCGGCGGAGCATTGAATTCTGGAACTGACTGCTCGCGGCGATCAGCGGGCTACCCTTCCACAGCCGAGGGACGAGGAAAACGGCCTCCTCCCGAGAACAAGCACGGACGAGCCAAACTGGTTTCGGCCCGAGACTCCCACCCCCCTACACAGGGTTGAGGTTATATATTGAGGCTCTCGCAAGTGACACTAAAGACATAACGAGCGCGCGGTTCAAACCGTCAGGCCTCTTAATTACAAATATTGCGCGGCTTATGCCGCCACTGTGTGGAAGCCCTGTGCTATCGCTGATTCCGGTGAGGCTGCGGCGCACACGATGGAGCCCTTCCAGGTCTTCGGGCTCGAGCCCAACGTGCATGGAAGTGCAGCGGTACCTCCGAGACGCCCCGAGCATGCATCTATTCCTCGTGAATTTCCTGCCACCGGCGGCAGGCAAATCCTCAGTACTAGGCGTGAGATGTGACCTCGCCCGATTCCCCTCTGGCATCTCAAGGACAAACGGAACTCGAACCTTTCAACGCATTCTACCAAGGCGACTCAGTCTTCCGGCGAACCGTTTCACCTTGTAGCGGTTACATCGGCTGCCGCTTGCCTTGCTAGCACCTGGCAGCGCGGGCGAAACAAACAGGAGCAACGCCTCCTTCCGCCTCAGATGGCCCGACACTCGCTGCTCCAGCGGAACGCCCAACCTCTGGTCGCCGAGCGCGTCTGCGCGCCGCGTCCAAGTGGGTGTGCCAGGGGGGGCCAGCTTTAATCCGACTGTGCTCGCGCGGTGTCCTATCACCAGCGCGTTGCTCCGCGCGGCGAGGGCTGGATGCCGCCTGGCGGCGGTGCCGCGCGGCCCTGCAGCAAGGCGGGCCCCCGCTCGCGCAGGCGCTGCTCGCCGTGGGCTAGAGGCGTCAGGTTGCGGATCTGCGTCCGCTGTCCCAGCCGAACGCTCTTCTTGTACCTGGTCATGATTTTCAGCTGGGGCCCTCCTCCGCGGCGCTGCGCTTCCGCCAGGCTGCGCCCGCCCGTGGCGCGGCCGCTGCTCGCTCCCAAGCGCCGCGCCTGGCGCGACGTGGCCCGCCGCAGCTGACGCAGGATAATGGGGTCGTCGAGCTGCCGCGCTGTCCGTTGGTGGTTCAACCTCTGCAGCACTTCCAGAACAGGCCCGAGCCGCAGCGGCCGCGCCGAGTCCAGCTCCACGCTCAGGTCGGACTCCCCAACCTGGTCTGCCGTTGCCCACTCTTGCGGGCGCATGAGCAGCCCCCAGCGGCGGCCCCCACCGCGCGGCTTCACGATGTCCCCAGGGCGCAACCTGAAGAGGAAGGACGGCCTCGGGTACGTCGAGACCGCCAGCGCTAGAAAGACTGCCATCATGCGGTGGCCTCTCAGTACCGAGCCAAGCATAAGGACGCACCAGGTAATCAGCGGCTCTGACATCCTGGCTCTGCCATGATAGTGGAGCGACGCGAGGTAACGAACGAGACGCGCGCCCATCGTAAGAAGTCCTGGTGGCCACCTCTCCTTCACCTGCTTCAGCACCCGATAAGTGCTGGGCTCGCGCGCGCGGCGTTGCTGCGCTCGACTCCAGGCAGCGGTCGATTATCACTTCGATCCCGGTCGCTCGAACGTCCGCCCGGTGCCTTTGCCTCGCCCGTCTCAACAGCCTCCGCTGGCGCTTGGCAGCGCTGGCGGCCCCTGACTCGCTGGTAGTGCCGCTCGAGCTTGCTCTGGCTGATCGAGCCTGCCTCCCAGTGATGCGCCTTCGGGCGTCGGCAGCCTTGGGCTCCGATGCCGCCTCCAGGCCCACTGTTAGGGCAGCGGCCGTCTCGCTGGCTGTCGGTCTCGGCGACGCCTGCGCCTGCCTGCTCTC